AAAAAAAAAATGCTTCTGTACAGCAAAGAAAACAATCAGTAAAACTAAAAGGTAACCAATGGATTGGGAGAAGATATTTGCAAATGACATATCAGATAAAGGGTTAGTATACAAAACGTATAAAGAACTTATCAAACTCAACACCCAAAAACAAATAATCCAGTGAGGAAATGGACAAAAGACATGAATAGACACTTTTCCAAAGAAGACATCCATCCAGATCACTAACAGACACAATGAAAAAATGCTCAACATCACTCATCATCAGGGAAATACAAATCAAAACCACAATGAGAAACCTGTCAAATTGGCTAAAATTAACAACTCAGACAATGACAGAGGTAAGAGGAACACTTTTGCACTGCTGGTAGGGATGCAAACTGTGCAGCCACTCTGGAAAACAGTATGGAAGTTCCTCAAAAAATTAAAAATAGAACTACCTTATGACACAGCAACTGCACTACTAGGTATTCATCCAAAGGATACAGGTGTGTTGTTTCGAAGGGGCACATGCACCCCAATGTTTATAGGAGTACTATCGACAATAGCCAAAGTATGGAAAGAGCCCAAATGTCCATCAATGATTGAATGGGTAAAGAAGATGTGGTATACTATACAATGTAGTATTACTTGGCAATCAAAAAGAACAAAATCTTGACATTTGCACCAACACGGATGGAAGTAGAGTGTATTATGCTAAGCGAAATTCATCAGAGAAAGACAAGTATCATATGACTTCACTCATATGTGGAATTTAAGATACAAAACAGATGAACATAATGGAAGGGAAGCAAAAACTATAAAAATATGGAGGGGGACAAAACACAAGAGACTCTTAAATATAGAGAAAAAACTGAGGGTTGCTGGAAGGGTTGTGGGTAGAGGGATAGGCTAAATGGGCAAGGGGTATTAAGGAGGACACTTGTTGGATGAGCACTGGGTGTTATATGTAGGGGATGAATCACTGAATTCTACTCCCGAAATCATTATTGCACTATATGCTAATGAACTTGGATGTAAATTAAAAAGTAAATAAAAAAATAAAAAATAAATTAAAAAAATTTTAAGAGCCAATTTTTAGAGGAATAAAGAATAGAAATAGTAGTGGGGTTATTAGGGAAGGAGACAGGAAGTAGCATTGTTATTTTATTGTATAGTTTAAATTTTCCTTTTATAAAGATAACATAAATTGAAAATGTATCATATACTTAAGTAAATTTCTAGGGCTATGCTATGTCAGTTCTTTTAAATTTTTTAAAAACATTTTTATGTTTATTTATTTTCGAGAGAAAGAGAGAGGAGAGCCACAGCACAAGCAGGGGACAGGCAGAGACTGAGACACACAAAACCTGAAGCAGGCTCTAGGCTCTAAGCTCTCAGCACAAAGCCTGATGCGGAGCTCAAACACATAAACTGTGCCTGAGCTGAAGTCAGACGTTTATCCCTATACTTATTTCATCCATCCCCCCACCCACCTCTCGCCTAGTAATCAGCAGTTTGTTCTCCAAGTTAGGAATCTTGTTTTTTTGTCTCTTTTTTCTTGGTTCATTTGTTTTGTTTTTCAAATTACACATGAGTGAAATAATATGGTATTTATCTTTCTCTGACTTTGCTCACCTAGCAATATACTCTCTAGGTCTATCCATGTTGTTGCAAATGCAAGATCTTATTCTTTTATATGGCTGAGTAATACTTCATTGTACATCTATATACCACATTTTCTTTATCCATTCATCCATTGATGGGACACTTGGGTTGCTTCTATAATTTGATTATTATAAATAATGCTGCAATAAGCATAGGGGTCCATATATCTTTTCAAACTAGTTTCTCATATTCTTTGAGTGAATACCCAGTAGTGGAATTCCTGGGTTATATGATAATTCTATTTTTAATTTTTTGAGGAACCTCCATACTGCCTTCCACAGTGGCTGCACCAGTTTGCATTCCCACTAATGGTGCGTGAGGGTTCCTTTTGTCCACACCCTCACCAAAACTTGTTGTTTCTTATTATTGATTTTAGCCATTCTGACAGGTGAGAGGTGATATCACACTGTGGTTTTGATTTGCATTTCCCTGATGATGAGTGATATTGAGCATGTTTTAATGTGGTGGCCATGTGGATATCTTCTTTGGAGAAATGTCTGTTCATGTCTTCTGCCCATTTTTTAATTGGGTTACTTGTTTTCTTGTGTGTTGAGTTGTATAAGTTGTTTATATATTTTGGATACTAACTCTTTATCAGATATGTCATTTGCAAGTATCTTCTCCCATTCAGTAGGTTATCTTTTAGTTTTGTTGATGGTTTCCTTCACTGTGCAAAAGCTTTTTATTTTGATGTAGTTTCGACAGTTTATTTTTACTTTTATTTCCCTTGCGTCATGAGACATACCTAGAAAAATGTTTCTATGGCCAATGTCAGAGAAATTATTGCCTGTGCTCTCTTCTAGGATTTTTATGGTTTCATATCTTACATTTAGCTCTTCAATCCATTTTGAATTTATTTTTGTGTATGATGTAGAAAAGTGGACCAGTTTTATTCCTTTGCATGTAGCTATCCTGTTGTTCCAGCACCATTTATTGAAGAGACTGTCTTTCCCACTGCCTAGTCTTGCCTCCTTTGTTGAAGATTAATTGGCCATATGATCATGGGTTTATTTCTGGGCTCTCTATTCTATTGATATATGTCTCTATTTATGTGCCAGTACCATACTGATTACTACAGCTTTGTAGTATATGGCATGCCAGTTTTTAATCATGCATGCCTTCTGAAGGACACAATGGCATGAGAACTTAATCTCATCAAAAATTGTTAAAAAAAAAAAAAAGAAAAAAGAACAGCGTGGTTACAGGAGAAAAGAGAGAAAGAGTTGCTTTCCCACTGTAATCAAACTATTTTGGTGATTATTTTTAAAGGCCAAAGAAGTATCATTAAAATCTCACATTTCTGGGGCACCTGGGTAGCTCGATCAGTTGGGTGTCCAACTCTTGATTTCAACTCAGGCCATGATCTCATGGTTTGTCAGTTCGAGCTCCGCATTGGGCTCTATGCTGACAGTGCAGAACTTGCTTGGGATTCTGTCTCCCTCTCTCTCTTTCCCTCCCCCGCTTGCTTTCCTTCTCTCTCAAAATAAAGAAAGATAAACTTTAAAAGAAATCTTACATTTCTAATGGAAATTTAACTTGATTAGGTAGTGATCATTACTTACCACATGCCAATTATTTTGCAAGGCACCAGGTAGATGTTGTGAAGGTGGAAATTGATAAAACATGGTCTTTGACTTTAAAAGACTCATAGTCTCTCTAGTGGCAATGGATTCCTTTCCTAGCTATAATACAAGGCAGAAGAAAAGGCACCACATAGAGGTGTAAATGACTTATAGTGGGACTGAAGCAGCAGAGCAATCACCAGATTCCTGGTCCTCAGTGCCAGGTGTCTCTGAAACCAAAGCTGCTCTTCCTCAGCTCTCACAGAAGAGTTAAGGGAAGAGCTCTGTCCAAACGTATGGGGCAAAACTACAGACCACAGGCCTAAAAGCTTCTTATAAAAACTTTCAAACAAACCACCTGTATCCTTCCCTTCGCCATCACCCTCAGTGGTTCCTTCTAGCCAATTACTGAGCCTTTCTGGGGATTCTTCAGCTGTCAGATAATTTCTAGAGAGTACAGCCTTTGCGGGCACTTAGGTTTGTCTTCCTTTTTTTCTGCTAAGTCATTTACCATTCCTTTACCCATTCCATGTCTGACAGGCTATGGACTGGGGTTGAGATGTCTCTGAGCTTCAATAAACCTGGGACAAGTTTCTGATTGTTCCTGCTGGATTTTCAAAAGGAGAGTAGAATGGAAATGACTTAATTATTTCATCTTAGAATCTGTCTTATGTGATTACTGCAATTTCATAACTGAACTAACATTAAGAAAAGAATAGTAAAAACAGGGTAGAAAATTTTAAGCTCAAGCTATAAAACCAGATCTGTTATAGACAAAGATTGAACAATGTGGAGAGTAAGGTAGAAGATGTTTTATGGTTTTCAGAAAGCAGAAAGAAATCACAAAATATCCCAAATCATCTCAAGTAGGCCACCACTCTGCCTGAACTAAAGCACGAGTTAGTAAACTGCAAATAATTCAAACCTTCACAAAGATGGTGAACTCCTCCACTTTCTCATTGGCTAAGAGCAACTTCTTTTGTGCACCTTCTAGGGCCTGCTCACTTTTCAGTGCTAATCCTTGAAGATGCTTGGATGCTGCTGTTTCAATTTCTGCCATTGCAGATTCGGTCTCACTTATTTTTGATACTAGGAGACCAAGCTTGACATCCTGCAAAAGACCGGTAATCACAGAATAAAAAATAATTCATAAACATATTTAGAAGATTTAGTTATTCATGTTAGATAAAGAAATGACTTCATGATTCTTCTTATGTATGTGTTTGTTTTTATTTGGGTTAAATTGATGGTTTTTTTGTTTTCAATAAAATATGGTGAGCACATATTCTCATATATTTATCATCAAAATTAGTTTGTTTTTAAAAAATTATAAATCATTAAAGACATGGAAGCTATTTTAGACCAAAAGATCTAATATGTCAATGGAAATATTTAATTAGTTTATAAGTTTAGGTGGATCTAAAAAATTTATATCCACTTTTGCCAGTTCTTAATAGTAGTGTTCATTTAAAAGACATTATCAAGGAGCACCTGGGTGACTCAGTCAGTTAAGCAGTGCAACTTTGGCTCAGGTCATGATCTCATGGTTTGTGAGGTTGAGCCCCACATCAGGCTCTCTGCTGTCAGCATGGAGCCCTCTTCAGATCCTTTCTCTCCCTCTCTCTCTGCCCCTCCCTTGCTTGTGTGTGCGCCTTCTCTCTCTCTCTCTCTCTCAAAAATAAACATTAAAAAAATGAAAAAAAAATTAAGATACAAAATCTGTTTCTCTAATATAGCATTACCTTTAATGTTAAACAAATGCTTAGTGTTTCATGTAGAGGTATGAACAGTTTTGTTCATAGTAATTTTGGGCAGAAAAAAATTACAGTTTTAAAAATGAAAAAGATATGGTTATATTCCATTTCTAAGCTAACATGTCTGAAAAGCATACCTTTTTTTCTAATTCCTCTTTAGTTTTTTGATACATCTGTTCAAACTGTGACTTCTCCTTTACAGCAACACTGAGTCTCTGTTTTAGTGAATCAATTGACACCTTCCTGTTGGAACACTCTTCAGTTAGTGTCTTCACCTACATTAAAAGCATAACGATAACTATTATTGGTAAAGCCATTCTAGGAGTATACTCTATTTGTTTCAACAGAAACCAAATGATCCATGAATAAGTCTAATTTCATTTATTTTCTCATAAATGATATCACATTTAAATAATAACAGCAAAAAAATATAAATGATATCAAATTCAAGTAAATTAGATTTGGAGAACTCACTATGAATGAGACTAAAATCCTTAAATCAATAGCAAAATGAAAAATGCACAAAAATGTATGAATACAATACTAATTTTAACTATGTTTCCTTTAATTACTAACCTTAACCTCCTTAAGCAGGGGATTGGTTGTCTTGAATTCTTAAGTAAGTCATGGATAACTTTCAATTCTATCTCCAATATAACATGTACTTTTTAGGATAAAATTAAATAATAATGTAACATAGTTATTACACATTTGAAAGAAGAAATAGTTTTTCTTTTTTCATTTAATGCCACTAAAGATATAATTACTTATACACAGATTCTAAGACTATATCTGAAATGATTATTAAAGTTTAAAAATCAGCAAAATTTCAGTGATAACACTGAAAAAACCTATAGGAAGTAATTATAATTTATGTGGGTGTGTGGGAAGAGAAAGAGAAAGAAAATCCACATGCATTTGTCTTGCTCATGTAAAATTTTCTTTCTTAAATCCATTTGAGCTAAGAGATACTTAGATTTTTATCTCCAACAAGAAAAGTAAGGGAGATGCTCTCTCTGGAGTGGATAACATTTAGTGAATGCCAGAGCACAAGCTGCTTTAGGAGTTGTGCAAATAGCACCTTTTTTTTTTTTTTTTTTTTTTTTTTTTTTTTTTTTTTTTTTTTAAATATCTCTTAGTCAGCAAATTGCTGATTTCTACTTTGGGGCCAGATATACAATTATGTTAAATAAAGCTCTCTTCCTAAGTATACTGAATTCAGTGTATCAAAGGAAAAAGTACACTTTTAAAAAACTGTGGTAAGTACACTTTTTAAAGATCTTCTGGTAGTTATTGGTTATTACCTTTTTCATTTAAAAATATATGCTTGATTCTATCATAAATGTTAGTAAATTAAATAAAGCAAATAAATAATTTATAAATTGTATAAATTCAACTTTAAAATGTTGAATAAAATGTAATTACATACCCAGAAACAGTGAAAGTTTTAAAAATTAAATGTGATTATCCTCTCATGTATTTACAAATACAAAGAGAACGTGTGACTATATTATGTATGACATTTTAGAGTTTTGAATTTTAAAACAAATAACATACTTTCAGATCAAACAATGTAATTATGTAACAGCAGACATGTATTCTATGAATATCTTCTAGGAATTTATTAAGACTGAATATTCAAGTTAAGAAGATAAGAGAAAAGTGGTATTTTCTACTGTTAGAGAACATAAAAATTGATACCTTTTTTTCAAGATTTTCTAACATTTCATTAATACTCTCATTACTTTCCAAATTTACTTTCTGTCGAAATTTCAAGTCCTCTATCAAATGTCTTTTCATGGTTATATCCCTCTCCATTCGAGATATCCTTGAAGGGGAAAAAAGAGATTTTATAAGAGAGATAGAAAATACTGAATTTTTAAATGCTAACTGATATTAATTGCAAATTAATAAGATATTTGCATGAGATGGAGTACTGATCTATTCATACTCTGTGTACTTATAAAATCCAAAATCCAGTTGTGACTGGTAATTACAGTATAATATATATGCATTAAGGCATAAAAATTGAAGAATTGAGAAAGATTGACAAAATTTATGAAAAATTAAAATTATTATATTTAGGGGTGCCTGGGTGGCTCACTTGGTTGAGCATCTGACTATTTTGGCTTGGATTGTGATCTCATGCTTGTGACGATCAGCCCCGTGTTGGGCTCTGCACTGGGATTCTCTCTCCCCTCTCTCTCTCTGCTCCTTCCCTGCTTGCACTCTCTCTCAAAATAAAAGATAAAAAATAAAATAAAATAATTATATTTAAATTATATTATTGCATTGCTCAGAAAAATCAAACTGATATTCAGAGATCATTAAAAAGCATAGCACTGATAGAAAATAATTCTGTATTTTAAATAAACAAACAAATGTAAAATCTTATAATATGATACAAAAACACTAAAATTAGGCATGGTATCTTCTAATTTAATATCACGTATGATTGAACTGACATATCAGTTTAGCTTAAGTTGATGACAGATATGAAATGGTAGCTGCAGAAACAACTATTACTGTGCCTACTAAATCATAACAGGTAACATTTACTGAGTGCTCATTAGGTGCCAGTCTCTGTTACAAGTACTTTACACGCTCTCTCTTAATCTTCACAAGAATTTTACGAGCTAATACTATTAAACTGAGATACAGAGCTGGCAGGTAGAGGAACTAGGATTCAAAGACTATTTCTCTAGGGCCCTCACTATTAGAGAGTAAATAAGACTGCCTCTTCTGCTAATAAATAAACTTGAAGATACTTTGTTTACAAAATTAACCAATATTTTTGTCAGTAGTTTCATCTGTTAATATCACTTCTAAGTGATCTTCACTTCAAATGTAGTATATATGTATCTGCATTATTTTGCTAATACATATGTATATATTCTCAAATTATCAGGGACAGACTCGCATTCCACCTAAACATGTTATCACCCCCTAAACTCTCATACATCTATAAATACACAGAGAAAATCATTTTGATTCAGTGAGACAGGACATTTTAAACCCCTTTTTGTTAAAAAAAACCAACACATAAAATACAAACTTTTGTAATCTTCCATTTATTTTAGAGACCAACAAAAACTTTCCTTTTCTTCCGCCTTAGCTTTATAAGCTTAGGCATTAAATCCAATTTGAGATCAACCTACATATATAATTTTGGTCAAAGAATTACCACATTCAGAAGTGTTTTGTTCGTAGTCTTTAGGTCATTAATTTATATACATTCAAAATTAAATGGTTACTTCTAAGAAGGCAAATATAACTTTAAATATTCTTACTCTAATTAAAAAATATTAAATAGCTTGTCATCAACTATGCTTATAGAGAATATTCCTTGAACTTTCATCTTATTGAGGCTTAAACATGAAGGAAGGAAAAGCTAATTTTTAACATGGGGTTTTGTTTCTTGCGTGCAATGTTTAATAGAGTTAACTACCACTAGGTGGCACCAAATACAATGGATAAAAATATCAAGAACATACTTTTCATGCATTTCCTTTATATGTTCTTCTTTTGCTAGGAGTTCAAATTTCAGAGACTTCACATTTGAGGACTGTTTAGTGAGCTCATTAGTTGCATTCTAGATTAAAAACACATATAAAATCAAATAAACTTTTCAATTTTTGGTCAAATGCAGCATCAAAATAAATGCCATTCTCATGAAGAATAATATTGAAATAAATATGATTATAATTAAGAAGGGCATTTTAATATACTTGTATATTTTAATATTTTTAAATGGTTTATTTTATATGTTTTAACAGAAGTACTATGGTATACTAAATTTTCATATAACACACCAAAACCACAAAAGAATGCCATCATATAACAATTACAAAAAGTACACACCCAAAGTACTTTCTGAGGAATAAGGACTATCTCTGTAAAATGTAAATGTGCATGTGATTAATTTAGTATTTTGATACGCTAACAAGATCACGTGAAATGAAAGCTTGATTTACTAAGAACCTGTTATAACAGACTAAATGTGGTCACAAATACTTTGCTGCTCCTCCCATCAAGAGGGATCCATCTACTAAACCTTTAAGCCTGGTCTGTTCCGGCCTGTGATTTGCTTTGACCAAGGCAAATGTGGCAGAAATGACATTATGCAAGTACCAGCTGCTGGGCCTAAACCCTTGCAGCTACACCTTTGGCTCTTGGAATGCTGCCTGGGATCACCTTGCAGGGAAGACAGAGGAAAGGCCATGGAGGAGTACTGGGGTATCCCAGCAGACAGCCTGCAGACCAACTCCCAGGCTGGGAGTGAGGCTATCTTGGAACTTGCAGTCCAGGTAAATCCTTGAATTAAAAGAATGCAGGCATATCAGAGAACTCAAAAGAGAGAAGTAAAAGAACTGCCCAGTCAACCCACCGGATCATAAGAATTAATAAACTGCCATTGTTTTGAGCTGCTACATTTTAAGATAGTTTGTTAGACAGTAATAGATAACTGATAAGGAATCTTAGGGATACGAAATACTTCCTTACTTGAATTTATTGATCATACTATTTATTATTAAAATATTCATGCATAAACATGAGTTTTTCAAAGCAGAACAGCTTTGTGGTATTTGTTAACGCACAGCCCAAGAGCCAGAGGTACTAGTGTATCAGGAACCCTAAGTTTCAATTTTGACTCAAGTGCTAAGTAGATAAGTAATCTGACACATTACCTAGTGTGTCTGATATTATAGTTTCTCCACCTACAAGACAGTAATAACATACATTAAGTTACTTGTTAAAATTTAGAAGTATTAACTTGATATAAATAGAATAAAATATGATAGCTTTAAATATATTTGGAATAGTTATTTTGCTAATCTTTCTTTGTAACTACAATCAATTTTGTTTCTGTTAGAGCTATTCCCAGGTTTGACTGACTCATGCTAAAAAAAATTGTAAATCTGTAAAGATGAAACCATTAATCATGAAACCATTGCTCACACCATTTAAATACAAGTCAAATTCATTAGACAGACTTTAAATATCTTATTGGTATAGAATATGTGAATAAAATTTTTGAAATAATTTTAACTTTTACATTAAATATATAAATTTCTTAAAAACTTAGGCTTAAAAACCTTAACATGGCAAGTAGACTGAATTTTAAAAATTTTGATTAAATGTTTGTGTAATGCAATCTAAATTTCCAGCATATATGATGTGCATTGCCAGAATAAGATATTCCACACTAGTGAATTTAGCAGATAATTGAAGCTTTTGCTTTAATTATTAATCTTAAATTCTCTCTGGAATGATTGTTCACTCACTTAGAAATATGAACATCTATAATTACATTAAGCTAATAGAGATACTTCTATATAGCTATATATTATAATCACTGTATTAATTATATATATTATATTGCTGTATTATAGTATCACTATATCATTATATAGTCATGTCTTTTGGAACTATTATGATATAAATGGCAACTTACCCCTAGTCTAAATGGTCCCAGAGTGCTGTGTTTCTAATTTTGTGTTTTTACCTTAACATTTTAATATTTTCTTTCTCTCTGTTGCTCTATTGGTCTGTTGGTCGACATTTCTTGCTTTTCCCATATTCCTGACTGAAAACAATCATCCTGCCCCTTAATATGCCTACTTCTCATTCGCTACTTTTGAGATATTTTCGGCTCAGAAGTTAAACAAATAGACTTATTAGAGTGGTACTTAAAATAAAAGACAACGGGCAGTAAATGAAGCCTGACAATATCTTCAGTGGAATAAATTAAGTGGATTTTAAGGTAGTTGTTTTTAGACTTAAGGCTGTTATTTTAGGTGACTGAAAATGCTATAACTCTGGCTTCTGGATAGTTGAGGGATTACTGAATTACAGTAAATAAAACAACACCAGCTTGATATATACTTTTTCTAGAATCTCTAAATCTCAGAGCCACTTCATTTGATCCTTAAAAATCCTTATGGAGTGGGTAGAAAGGTATGCCTGCTTTCAACCTCTGGAGAAGTTATTTCCTCAGTAGAGTCCCATAAGAAGTTAATGCACAAAGAGTGATCAAAACCCAGGGCCTCTAGCATTTTCCATTTCTACTGTACAAAATTTATCTGCAGCATGACCTCAAATCTGGAGGAAAACATGTATGTCAAAAATGTCACAATGGTAAGAATCCATCATGGTTAGAGCTTTCCTATCTAAGTTTGTTAAACATTTTTTTTTTTTTAATTGCAGAGTGTAATGAATGAAAGCATTGACTCTGAAGTCAGATGGACTGAGTTCTAATCTCAGCTCTATCACTTAGTAGCTTAGTGACCTTGGACAATTAACTTACCTTTTGTGTCTCTGCTTTCTCAAAAGTAAAATAGAATAACAGACCTTATTTCACAGGGTAGAAATGAGGATTAATGAATTACTATTTGTAAAGGACTTAGAACCAGCCTGGCAACAGGTTACATATAAAGGAACAGTAGTTTAAAAACTACTATGCTTCATTACGAACTTACTGGGAAACTGGAAAAGAACACGGTATATATCAAAAGGGATGCTTTCAACAATCAAGAAGTCAAAGAATCACAAATATAAATTAGAGTACTATTCAATTCAAAGTGTGTATATAACTACAAATAAACTAATACAAAATAATGGTATATATATGTACATACATGTATGTATATTGGTATATTGTATATGTATATGCATATATATAACATTCACTGGAAGGAATTTGTATGTCTCTAAATATTTGATCATCTATCTAAATAAAGTTGGGTACCTTGAAGAAACATATCTAATATGGGTAAAAATGAAGATACAGAAAATACACATGAGCACTCAAATGATACTGAATGTATCACGTATATCTGAGAAGTACACCTAAGAGTTTATACAGAAAAGTCTAAAGTTACTTGGATAAAATAAAAAAGATGTATATAAGCCTTTAATATATACAAATCTAACCAGTTTTTCTAAAAATTTAGCATAAAAACATCAACTAGAAAAGAAGTCATTTCTTGGAAAATTATTGTGCTAACGATTTGATATCTGTCATGGGTTGAATTGTGTCCCCTCAAAATGTATATGTTGCCGTTTTAACCCCAGAACATCAAAATGTCACTGTGTTAGGATAAGGCCTTTAAAGAGGTAAGTATAGTAAAATGAGGCCATATCAGTGGGCCTTCATCCAATATGACTGGTATCCTTCCAAGAAGAGATTAAACACAGAATCACACAGACTGAGGGATTACCATGTGAAGACACAGCGAAGGTGGCCATCTACAGGTAATAATTCTAAAGACTCAGAAGAAACCAAACCTAATCAATACCTTGATCTTGGAATTGTGGACTCCAGAACTATGAGAAAAAAATATTTTATTATTTAAGTCACCCAGTCTCTGGTATTTTGTTATGGCAGACCTAGCAAACTAATAGAATATCAAAACAGAAATTTGTAGTAGCACAGAGTATTATGTACGTTAAGGTACTGGTCTTCTAAGGTATTTCCATATTAAAACATGAAACAAGACAAAAGTAGAGATTTATCCTTTTGTCGCGGGCCAGTGTTCCAGGACTGCAGGCTACTCATGGACACTTCAAGTATACATCAAGTGTGGTCTAAATGCTCCAGGCATCCTCATAGTCCTACCTTTGTGATTCACACATTCCTCCAAAGTGAAAGAGAGATTTATATACAGGTAAAAACTGACACCATGGGAAACCATAAGGTAAATAACTTATAGATATTGATATGGGTCTATTAGTTCCAAAAATTAAGTTAGGACATTAGCAGTACGTAAAATCACATAAGTAAAATATAAGTCGTCTTAAAGCTATTAATAACTTAAAAAAAATTAGAGGTCAGATTAGGTATTATTGGATCCAACATTCTATTTTACCTTATTGAAAACTAAACTTTTATTAGGAGCATGAAGACTTAAATGTAAGAAGAATCATAGAACCATGAATTAAAGCCTCTATGATAGTATAGTAACCTAACACTGTATAGTAACCTAACACTGAAATGTTCAATTTGTACATTTTATTCCACTTTTTCACAGACAGAAATGCATTTTAAGAAGATACATCCACATACACCAAAACTTACGTAACTATTTTTTCTCATGTTTCTATTACACAAGGTATTTTAAACTTATAAAATGTAGTGGTTGAGGCAAGTTATGCACACAAGAACTGTCTGAAGATGATGGTATTCAAGAATTATCTAAATTAATGCCACTGTGTATATCTCATTCTTATTAACAAAGCAAAATATTTTCAAGTAATGATACAATCATTTACTTTAAGCTTTATACTATTTTATACTTAGCAATCCTTCATTTAAAGATATTATTGGAGAATGTACGTATCATCTTTTGAATTAAAAACAACTGAGTCTGTTTGATAATTCGATATTCTAATACTCTCTTAACAGTCATAGGTACTCTGTTCCTAATGTATTCTGTGCATGTCCAACCAGAACTTTCTTTCTAGTGACTCTCATTACAGTGATGGTCCCAAACACACTGTCTTTTTAGCTACTAGCTAGCAATCCCCACAGAACAAAATAATTAAATACGTGAGGAATAAACGAGCTTGTTTTAAACAGTATGAAAATAAACTTTGCAATTAGAAGCCACAAATCCTGTTTCTTACAAGGTAATTCTATTTAAACTAAGGTCAGCCTTATTTTTAAGTTGTTGACAGTTTCAATTGGACTTAGATAGAATTCTTTATAAACAGAAAGAACACTGATTGTCATTCTTACTCTCAGGCCTAACTCACTGAAATCTATTATACTAACCCACCTTTGCTCAGGGCTTCTCCCTCCCTCCACTTCCCTCCTCCTTCCACATTTCCAACCAACAACAACCAAATTAAAATAGCAGCAATTGTGTAGAGGGAAGCAATTCAACTTATGTAGATACAGAAAGGATTCTGTTCAGTGCAGGGAGGAATGGAGGTCAGAGGGGGAGTTCAGCAGTAGAAGAGAAATGACAATGGCCAGTTTCTATCACCATCCTAGGATTTCATGGTGTCTTGTCATTTTTCAGAGAGTAGTGTTATGAGTTACCATATAAGAATCTACTAGGCCAAAACAGATCAAATATAGAATCAATAATTTTTGGATTATTTATGCCATAATTTACCCTTAGTAGAATTTAAAAAATTAGCATCGATATAAACATGTCTTTAAGGATTCACTAACTTAAGGGGCACCTGGGTGACTTAGTCGGTTAAGCATCTGACTCTTGATTTCGGCTCAGGTCATGATCTCACGGGTTTGTGGGTTTGAGCCCTGCGTCTGGCTACATGCTGACAGCGTGGAGGCTGCTTGGGATTCCCCCTCGCTTCCCCTCCCCTGCTTGTGCTCTCCCTCTCTCTCAAAATAAATAAATAAATAAACATTTTTCAAAAACCTAATATATATTTTCACGTTTAATAAATTTATAATCACCTTTAGTTTACACTGCAATTGCTTCATCTCCAAATCCATGCTCCTTGAAGGACCAAGTGATGTAACCTGTATCCGTGGAACTATTACTCGGGAAACTTCTTCTGCCAAACTTGTGATTTCAGATGAGGACTCCAATTTCTTCAGTAAGTCTTCTTTTTCCTTCCGAAGGTCAGCCAAATCCAAATTTAGCTTCTTTTTTAAAAAGAAAATAAATATAAATGTATTATAAAAATAATTATCTTTAACCTAACAATTATCAGCATAAAATTCTAATGCTAAAGAGTGAAATTAATTCTAAAAATAGTTATCGTTAAAACTTTACAAAGATTATAACCTCGACTAGTTTTTGCTTCTGGTCGTAGGGTCTGTAAAGGTTAAAACAAAATGGACCAGCTGTATCTAGTATCTTTTGGTTGGCTGGTCTTTACTCATGATATGATATTTCTTTGACTTCACATAGACATGGCTGAGCCAGAGATTCACATATTTGATAACCTTGACTTCAGGGCTGATGTACTTAACTGGTAAAAGCCAAGCTGGAGCAGGACAGGATAACAGATGTTAGTTGTTTATTCCATTGGGTAGGTCTTACTATCCTATATGGCAGCCAAAACGTTTCTCATTTAGTAACATAAATGTTAAGTCCAATTAGCAGAAGAGGCTTATTAGAGATTTAGCTCAGATAAATAGTGTGCAAATTCGCTTAGTCTTATGCATCTGTTGACAAGTCCTCTTTGTAATATTAGTGTGGAATTGCACTAAACTCCTTACATTTGAATTTTTAATAACATCAACATTTTACTAAGAGACATACCTACCGGTAATGTTTTTATGAAATAGTGTAGAAGAAATGGTCTTAATGTCAGCCCTTCTTGTTCACCAATCTGCAGTCAGCAGAATGCCACCAAGCTATAATGGCCTAACAACTAACAGCTCCTTAAGAGGTAACGCATTACTATTTTATGATTCCAAAGAAGCTTATAATATGGTAGTTTAACATAAGGAACAATTAGATAAAATGGTACTGAAATCTCTCAGGGGGCAAAAATCTTTCCTTCTGAAAAACTCTAATGAGAAACAGCAAAAGATGTAGCCAACGTGTACAGTAATATAAATATGGGATAAAATAAGTTACTTAAGGATTAACACTACATATAAACATGACTTTTACAAACTATATGAACAATTGCATACGTGTTTGTGTGTATATGTGTATAGTATTAAATATGAATATTTCAGATACTAGATTAAAAATTAGGGCTTGATATATTTGATATTATGTTCTGGTGAAATAAGTATGTTTCAGTGAAAAAATATTTCTTTGATTATATTTGAACTTATTTAAAAAATATTTTTAATGTTTATTTATTTTTGAGAGAGAGACAGAGTGCAAGTGGAGAAGGGGCAGGCAGAGATGGAGACACAGAGTCTGAAGCAGGCTCCAGGCTCTGAGTTGTCAGCACAGAACCTGCCTGACATGGGGCTTGAACTCACGAACTGTGAGATCAGGACCTAAGACAAGTCAGACACTTAACCGACTGAGCCACCCAGGCACCCCTGATTATATTTGAACTTATGATCTAAAGGTGTGGTTCTGGGGCACCTGGGTGGCGCAGTCGGTTAAGCGTCCGACTTCAGCCAGGTCACGATCTCGCGGTCTGTGAGTTCCAGCCCCGCGTCAGGCTCTGGGCTGATGGCTCAGAGCCTGGAGCCTGTTTCCGATTCTGTGTCTCCCTCTCTCTCTGCCCCTCCCCCGTTCATGCTCTGTCTCTCTCTGTCCCAAAAATAAATAAACGTTGAAAAAAAAATTAAAAAAATAAATAAATAAAGGTGTGGTTCTATATATTTTCAGGGAATATTCATTCATGGATTGTCTCAAAAGTACCTAATAATTAGTATCTAAAAACAACCTTATAATTTCCCTAAGACTGAAAATCTTCTGGTTATCTCCCAAGCCTGAATCCATTTCCCTCCTTGTTTATTAATTCTCTATGTCCAATCAATTGTCAGGTTCTATAAATTATGTAATGCTTCTCATATTCTTTCCCTGTGCCACTTTCTTAATGAAGACTCTCACTATCCTACTAAGACTACTGCAAAGCCCTTCCCCTTGCTGCAATCTTCCCTCCTTTGAAATGATCTTTTATACAACTTTCTAAAACAACACTGGCCTCCTATTCCTTTATTTGAAAACCGTTCAGAAGCTTCTCACCCCAAAAGAATAAAGCTCAGATGTTTGTGGTTACAATAAGGCTAAGATTTAGCTTCAACTTGTTTCAGTTAGATATCACCTGAAGTCAATCTTGCCTGCCATTCCCCAAACCAATGCCATTTCTACATTGATGACTCTACACATGGTGTTTCCTTCTGCTGAAATCTTGCTCATGCTTAAAGAAGAGTTTAGTAGTTCCTCCTTTTTGAAGGCTTCTGTTCTTTCTTCCTTTTTTTCTTCAACAAAGTAACTTCTCCATTCTCTTATCTCCCATTGCTCTATGCCTGTTCTTCAACCATGAACCCTAGTTAATCCTTGAGAGCGGACTGTGCCTTTTTCCCCTATGTATTCCCCAGGCTATCTAAAAACAATGCCTTCTTGGAGCGCCTGGGTGGCTCAGTCAGTTGATCCTCTGACTTCGCTCAGGTTATGATCTTGCAGTCCGTGGGTTTGAGCCCCGCGTCGGGGTCTGTGCTGACGGCTCAGAGCCTGGAGCCTGTTTCGGATTCTGTGTCTCCCTCTCTCTCTGCACCTCCCCCACTCGCACGTTGTCTCTCTGCCTCTCTCTCTTTCTCTCTCTCTCTCAAAAATAAATAAACATTAAAAAAAATTTAAAAACAATGCCTTCTGTATAGTAAGGACCAAAAGAAAGTTTCCAAAAATTGAAGTCTTGATATTTGTAGCATGGATGGTGCTATGAACACACATCAGTTTCAGTTTATATTTATAATCTATTAGTTTATCACTATATAAATTAAAATACACTTTTATTAGTAAGGTAATGTTATCAGCATTTACTTAGGTAGTGTGCATCGGAGCATTTATCAATCCTGAAGTTAATGCTATGCATCTAAATTAGACTTTCTGAGATTTTAATTTGGTATGACATAACTCATGGCTACAATTCTATGTGGAATCGTAGGCAACACTGAAAACTGAACTTTGAGGAGGCTCTTTTCTTCCCCCGAACAGCTCTGGTGGCTTCTCTCATTTGTTAAATTTGTATGCCATTAGATTTCTGTCTAATCCTTCCACGGTGGTAGATCCTAACACTATAAATAAATCCTTCATGGAGGAAAGACCAAGCCAATAAATTCAGATCTCTAAGACAGGTATACGTAGATTTTAACTTCAATCTAACAATATAAAAATTCATTAACTAAAGAAACACTGAAATTATGGAGACAGCAAACCACAATTTGTAATTTATTAAAATATAAATCATGTTTTGATTTACCAATATTCAAAATCTACAATCTTTAAACCATATTCCATAATATTAGTTATATATGCCCAGAAATGCTACAGAGCATATGCTGAAATAGAGGATATAAACAAATCATATATTTCATCAGTTTGGAGTTTTTTATCCCTCAGAATTTTGGACAAATAATCATGGCCCTATTACTAACTTCTCTCAGTGAAATCATCCTCTCTTATTTGGAAATGCTACCAATGAGACAAGAAGCATAAATAATTTTCTTTAGTGTACACAAGTTTGACATGTGAGACCACATTGTGATGATCTTGTTAGAAACAGATTTTGCTTAAAATTTATGAATAAATTAAGATTACTCTTAAAATTGTTACTTTTCCTTTTTTATCAAAACCATGATTCCTATTTCTATATTATTACTTTACCATCTCCAAACACTTAAAAATATATGTCATTTCTATTAAAACCATAAATAATAATAAAACACAGGGAAGAGTCATAATTTCTGGATTTTAGCTTTGGATCTACTGCTTACCAGTTGGGTGACACTAATTAGCACATGACTTTGTTTCCTCATTTAAAAATTCTAGAGATGATGCTTGTCACCCTTGCAAAGGTAATTTTGAGGGCAGGATTAAAAAAAAATTATGATAGCACTTGGCAAAATTTAAATTTATAGCATTACTATTAGCACTACCTTGTGGTAAGTGCTGCCCTAAAGTGTCTGAGAATTATCTTAAAGGCTGAGAACCTGGATTTTAAAAAGTGCTTTGTGATATATCCAAAATATTAAATATATAAATATATATATATAATCCCTCCTTTAAAAGATATAACAATCTTTTAAAAAGTCTATTTCAATTTAAAAGTTGACTTCAGTGAGAATAGGTGCTGAGATTTGTATTGATTTATGCTAGTCAATTATTCTAACTAAAGGTTACAAAGTAGAATTTGATACTATAAAATTTGAAACTAGACACTAGTTATTATTTATTTAAATAGAACATTGGAGGATAAGTCTCTGAAAAGAAAAGAGCCCTCTATGCAACTGTAAGAGGAAACAAAATATTTTGGAGAATTCTTTCTTCAGTAAGGAGCTTTGAGGTAGGCAGAATACTCAGATGACCCAGTGACCCATGCCTTGCATAATACCTTTCCCTTGTCTCTGGTTGGGACCTGCAAATATAATGGACTATCACTCCCATGATTATATTATTTGCATGTGTTATATGCTAAAGGCATTCTGTAAATCATGGTTCCTAATCACAGGCCCTTGAATTAATCAAAAGCAAATGTATCCTGGCTGGTCCTGATATAATCAGATAAGCCCTTTAAAAAAATCCAAGGTGGTGGGGGTGGGGTGGGAGAGGTGGGGGGACAGTGCACCCCTGGGTGGCTCAGTCGGTTCAGCATCCAACTTTGGCTCAGGTCATGACCTCATAGCCCCTCATTGGACTCTGTGCTGACAGTGCAGAGCCTGCTTGGGATTTTCTGTTTTTCTCTCTCTCTCTGCCCCTCCCCTGCTTGCATTCTCCCCCCCCCACCCTTCTCTCTAAATCAATCAATCAATCAATCAATCAATAATAAAATAAAAAATAAAAGAATTCCTGGGGCCCTCCTGAGATCAGAGAGATTCTCCTGCTGGCCTTGAAGAAGTAAGTTGCCATGTTATGGAAGGAGTGTTGGAGGGATATAAGACGAGGACCTAAGGAAGGCCTCAGGAATGAAAATGGTCCTAGAACAGCAGTGAATAAGAAAACAGGG